CTGAATCCAATGATTTGGGCCAATACTTTTGGCAATATAGTGTATGTTAAATCAATGTTTACCAAAGTGGAGTCTTCATTGGGATGCTACAAGTGCCCTTCCCAAACACCCACCAAAATAAAATCTGACCTAGTCCTTTTAGTTATAGACAAGGTTTACAATTCTGAGGCTTAATAGCCAGTCTGATGACCAATTTCGTTCTTTGATTCACCGCATCTTCCAGCTGCTGCAGATCAACAGTTGGCACCACACAGAGAGCTAAAGGAGGCTTGCAGCAAACATACGTATTCATGTCATCTTGTACAGTACACCTAACAGCCTAGTCATTTTTCTTTCAAAGAATCGCAACACAGTGTACTATAAAAGTTACAGAATGAAAAGCTGCTTGACATAAATTGAAAGTCGGATAATTTGATACACTTTAATAACATTATTATTGAATATTTTAGAACATTTTATTTTTTAAATTTATATAATAATAATACCCAAATATAAGACCAAATTTATTTTAGTTCTCGTATCTCCATCTGCAAAAAATACATGTATTTTCGTACACGTTTCACCCGCCTATTAACCCCCCCCCCCCCCAAATCTTCGACGCTCGCTCTTTTTTGTGGCTCCTTCCCAAACTTTCAATCCAGGTTCCATTTTCACTGCAGTCTGAGATCTAGAGGCTGCGGTGTTCTCTGTTCACATTAATTAGGAGATGCGTTTTCATAATTCCTACCCAGAAAAAATACATTACAGTCAGCGTCTCGCTAATATACAATGACATCATTAAAAATGGCTTCCAATTAGGCACCCTGCCCGCCGGCGTCTTGGCTCCTCCGTGGCGGCTCAGAGTTTGATAATCATTTTGAAATAGATAAGATGAAATAAGTTAAGAGATCCCGGATAGTAAATCTGAGCTGATGTCAGTTACTTGCAGTATCATTAATATAGAACCACTGAATCGGCTGAGAGGCGTGTCGCTAATCTTGGGCTCCCGCCATCTTCCACCTGCACTGTGGTCACTGTGAGACTCCCATTTCCTGAGGATCTGGTTATTTCTTCACTAGTCCCAGCCCTGCTTTCTGACATTTGTCCGAACTTTACCTGAAAGCTGCCTTATGCCATAGATGGGTCAAAAACCGGCCTTTTTTTATAATAAAAAAAACGAAAAAACGGTCATTCGATTGGCCAACGTTACCACCAACGCTAAAAAAAATCTGCCAATTTTCGGCCCAGCAGTGTCGTCCAGCAGTGCTGCCCAGCAGTGTTGTCCATCAGTGCTGCCCATCAGTGCCCATCAGGGCCACCTATCAGTGCCCATCAGTCCTGCCTATCAGTGCCCATAATTGCTGCATATCAGTGCACCATCAGTGCCTCCTCATCAATGTCCACCAGTGCCATCTCATCAGCGCTGCCTCATCAGTGCTACCTATCAGTGCCTCCTCATCAGTGCTCATAAGTGCTGGCTATCAGTGCTGCCTATCAGTGCCCATCAGTGCTGCCTATCAGTGCAGCCTCATTAGTGCTGCCTATCAGTCCCCATTAGTGCTGCCTATCAGTGCAGCCTCATCAGTGCTGCATATCAGTGCCCATCAGTGCTTCCTATCAGTGCAGCCTCATCAGTGTCCATCAGTGCTGCCTATCAGTGCCCATCAGTGCTGCCTGTCAGTGCCCATCAGTGCTGCCTATCAGTGCCCATCAGTGCTGCCTATCAGTGCAGCCTCATCAACACACATCAGTGAAGGTGAAAACATTTTCAGATTTTTGCTCTTTTTTTCATTTATAGTGCAAAAAATAAAACCCCCAGTGGTAATTAAATACCACCAAAAGAAAGCTCTATGTGTGTGAACAAAATGATAAAAACTTCATATGGGTACAGTGTTGCATGACCGCGCAATTGTCCTTCAGAGTGCAGAAAGCTGAAAACTGGTCTGGGCAGGAAGGGGGTAGAAGTGCCTGGTAGACAAGTGGTTAATTGAACAGCTGAAGTTAAAAGCTGATTGGCTGCCATGCACAGCTGCACCAGATTTTACACTCTCCAGTTTTAGTAACTTTAGTATTGAACTGTCACAGGTTATTATTGTTTTGTAGTATGCTGAATCTCCCCCCCCCCCCCCCAAAAGATTTTTTGCTGTATGATGTGACTAAGAAAATGTCACTACTAGAACAGCTGAACTTTATTTGGGGTTAATCAGAGGAACTTTAAATGATGGCGGGTGTGTACTGACTCCTATTTAACATGATTTCGAATGTGATTGCTTAATTCTGAACACAGCTACATCCCCAGTTATAAGAGGCTGTGCACACTTATGCGACCACATTATTTTCTTTTTTTTATGTTTACACCCCCCCCCCCCCCCAAAAAAAAAAGATTTCATGTTCAGCTTTCTAGCAGAAGCCTGAAGGTTTTGTGCCAATATTGACTGGTATTTGGAACTGTTCATAATTCCCTCTACCTTGCCTAAGGCCCCAGTTCCAGCTGAAGAAAAACCTTGCTAAATGATTGAAACTGACTGCTGGAAAACGTAGGTTAAAAGACATCTGTTTAGCCGCGTTTATGTGCGTTTGCGTTTAGAAGCGTTTTTTTAAAGATAAGCACAGGAGAACCTCCCAAATGCCCAGAATGCACTGAAAAGTCGTCAATTATTAACTATTTCAGACTGCTTCAGAGAAATACAGAGAGTAGAAGCAGAGACAGCAGTATGTGTTGAGATTAGCTTAGGTGTGAGTTGCTCATTAACATTTCTTTTGTTTCCAAGGGTGGGAAAGGTGTCTGGTGGAGGAGTCATTAAGCTCATCTGGCAGGGGGTCTTCATGAGGAATTTGAGGTGTGAATGGTCATTAACATATCATTTGTTTCCAAGGGTGGGAGAGGTCTGAGGTGTGAATGGTCATTAACATATCTTTTGTTTCCAAGGGTGGGAGAGGGCTGAGGTGTGAATGGTCATTTACATATCATTTGTTTCCAAGGGTGGGAGAGGTCTGAGGTGTGAATTGGTCATTCCAATGTGTGACAAGCTTGGTAGGAACATCCTGTGTTCAGTGTTTTGTCCATCTGAGTACCTTGAAAATGATTTGCATGCATTTTTTATGATGAAAACAGGCTCTGGACAGCATCGGGAACTGGAAGAGTTAAAAAAAGTTTCAAATGCAAATGCTTATAAACACGATTTGCCACGTTTAGAAGCGTCATGCGTTTGAAACGCTGATAAAATTGACTGCTGAACGCAAGTTTTCTGCATTCAAAAAAACAACTGTAAACTCAACTGCCTGTAAATGACTGTAAACGATGATGTGTACACGGACACATAGGAAAACATTAGGGAGAGTTCAGGGGCTGCTGAAAAAAACGCAGAACAGTTCCTAAACGTCAGTCTATCAGCTGCAGTGTACATGAGCCCTAACAGTATATACATTTCAGTGTGTTTAGTGATGACATACACAAGGGCGAACCGACAACTAATGGGGCCCCTGGGCAATAGGGGATCATGGGCCCCTGTGTCCTTGCCCACACCCAAAAAAGCCTATGAAAAGCCAATGAAAGGTACCAGGGGCATCTCATGGGGCTCCCTACTGACCCCGGGCCCTCAAGTGCTCGAATGGTCAGTCCGCCCCTGGACATACAGTAACTGGCCGTGATGTTATCTCTCACACACACCAACAACACGTCAGCATTAAACGTCTCATAAGCCGACACTCCCCTTTAATAGCACCATCTATTTTTTTTTTTCTTTTGCAGTCATAACTTTGTAAAATCCAGTATTGATCCGTGCACTTAACAGCGCCACTTGTCAAAAGTGTAATACTATTAGCAGATCCTTGGCGTAATGTGGTCAGCCAACGCCAAGATGAAGATGAGAAGGCCGTATTTGGCTTCGATAATTGGCTAAATATATTCCCTTCCATCTGCAGCCCTGGGCATTCCTCGCTGATAAGGTATCATATTCATTTTCATTAAAGGCTCCAAAGAGGTGGAAGCATTTTTTTTTTCACCCGTGCGTTGTTTCTCTGGTTAATTGCGCAGTTTGTATTCCCGGCTGACAGTTTGAGGAGGTCACTCCGACTTTTAATTATTTATTTATTTTTTGGGGGGTTATTGCCATTATTGAGCATTTTAGGATGTTATCTCTGCCTGGAGAGAACCAGCCGTAGGAAGAAGCATCGCAACCAGCAGTCGCAGCAAGGTGAGTGTATGCAGAGCTGATACATGCGGTATGTAAAAAGCAACGCAATCTCTTAACCCCTCGCCTGCCGGGCACTTATACCCCCTTCCTTACCAGGCCAATTTTCAGCTTTCAGCGCTGTCGCACTTTGAATGACAATTGCGCGGTCATGCAAGATTCTACCCATATGAGATGTTTATTGTTTTTTTCTCACAAATAGAGCTTTCTTTTGGTGGTATTTAATCGCTGCTGGGCGCTTTACTTTTTGCGCTATAAACAGAAAAAAAGTGCAAAAATTTGAAAAAAAAAAGTTTCTTTGTTTCTATTATAAAATTTTTCAAACAGGTAATTTTTCTCCTTCAGTGATGTGTGTTGATGAGGCAGCACTGATGGGCACTGATAGGCAGCACTAATAGGCGGCACTGATGGGCACTGATAGGCAGCACTGATAGGCGGCACTGATGGGCACTGATAGGCAGCACTGATAGGCGGCACCAGGGGCGGACTGACAACTCATGGGGCCCCCGGGCAATAGGGGATCATGGGGCCCCTGTGTCCTTGCCCAAACTCAAAAAAGCCTATGAAAAAGGTACCAGGGGCATCTCATGGGACCCCCTACTGACCCCAGGCCCTCGGGCAGTGCCCGAGTTTCCAAATGGTCAGTCCGCCCCTGGGCGGCACTGATAGGCAGCACTAATGAGGTGGCACGCATAGGCAGCACTGATAGGCAGCACTAATGAGGTGCCACGGATAGGCGGCACTGATAGGTGGCACTGATAGGTGGCACTGATAGACAGCACTGATAGGTGGCACTGACTGGCATCACTGCTGGGCACTGACTGGCGGCACTGCTAGGCATTGACTGGCGCAACTGCTGGGCACTGACTGGCACAGCCGCTGGGCACTGACAGGTGGCACTAACTGGCGGCACTGCTGGGCTGCACTGATGGGCACTGGTGGGTGGCACTGGTGGACACAGGTGGGTGGCACTGGTGGACACAGGTGGGTGGCACTGCTGGGCACAGGTGTGTTTCACTGCTGGGTGGCACAGGTGGGTGCACTGCTGGGCACAGGTGCGTGGAACTGGTGGGTGGCACTGCTGGGCACCGATCGTCAGGGCACTGATCATTGATCATCAGTGCCCTGATGATCAGTGCCGATCCCTGCTCTGACATCTGCCGGTTCTCGGCAGTACTTTCCTCACGCTCTGACCGCACAGCGCTGTTCCCCAAGCAGCCGGTGCCATGATCGGACACAGATTAAAGTGGTTGTGAACCCTTTAAATACCCAGGGAAGTGACTGGCCTCTGGTGACACACAGAGATTAAACAAATCCTCCTACATACTGTAAGTTGTACCTGTTTATCTGCAGTCTTCTCTTCTCTACATCTATTTAAAGTCCAGAACAGGGGCGGACTGACAACTCATGGGGCCCCCGGGCAATAGGGGATCATGGGGCCCCTGTGTCCTTGCCCAAACTCAAAAAAGCCTATGAAAACGGTACCGGGGCATCTCATGGGGCCCCCTACTGACCCCGGGCCCTCTGGCAGTGCCCGAGTTTCCAAATGGTCAGTCCGCCCCTGGTCCAGAATTTATAAAGCTTGTCTGAATTTCCAGAAAATGGACAGCTGATTGAAGGAAAGGGACACACACCCCCTTCATACAGCACATAGGAACAGTTGAGGCTGTCAATCAGCTGGAGGTCCCTCCCCTGTCACCTTTTTTTCTCTTGGTGTCAGGAAAACTCATCAGAAGTGATTCATGCTGATAGCAGAGGAATGAAGGAGCAGACAGAAATGACACTTAATGCTCTGGACTACGACAAATACACATAATAGAGGGATATGCTTTGTTCATTATTTATTTATTTCAGGTACTTATATAGCGCCATCAATTTACGCAGCACTTTACATATATATTGTACATTCACATCAGTCCCTAACCCTCAAGGGGTGTGTACAATCTAAGGTCCCTAACCCTCAAGGGGCGTACAATCTAAGGTCCCTAACCCTCAAGGGATGTACAATCTAAGGTCCCTAACTTACATTCATACATACACATACTAGGGACAATTTAGACAGGAGCCAATTCACCTACCAGCATGTCTTTGGGGTGTGGAAGGAAACCGGAGTACCCGGAGGAAACCCACGCAGGCACAGGGAGAACATGCAAACTCCAGGCAGGTGGTGCCGTGGTTGGGATTCAAACCGATGACCCGATTACTGCCAGGCGGAAGTGCTAACCATTTTGTTCATATTTCATGTCTGACGTTTACAACCACTTTAACCTCTTGGCGCTGGCCGAACGCAAATGTGTGGCCTTCCGGAATCTGGGTCTAGACGCCGAGCGGCCGGAAATTTGCGTTCTATTAAAAAAACATTGATCGGGAACTTTCCTGATCATGTGACCGACATGACAGCGAATCACGGCGGTCACTTGACCGTAAAACCCCCCACCCCGCCTCCCGCCTCCTGGAACTGTTAAAGGGCTGGGAGGCGCCGGCGCCAAGGGGTTAAATAGAGAAAACAAATGCAGCCATCACCTCTAGAGATTGGTAAGCTGCAATATATTACATTTTTATTTTTGCGATTTGATAGCACTTGAAGTCATTTTTAATGAAACGTTTATATTTCTAGAAGTTTCTTCTTCATTTACTTGTTACTTTGTAAAAAGAAGATCAGCCGTGGCCTTCCAGCTGTTGATAGACGATATCACCCGCACGGGGAGTGCATTGTTTTTAGTAAGCTGGATGATTCACAGACTTTGCGTTGTGAGAAGGCGCGGTCCCTGTCAGTCGCCATTCATTTTTTTTTCTACAAAGAGGTTTGTGGTTTCTTTCCGAATATTCATCAAGCTTTACGCTTTGGGGACATTTTAAAAGGAACGTCTGTTCATCGGAGTTTCTCGTAGACTGTCGGCCTCCAAAAGTTTTCTTGGAAGTTCTTTGCCAGCCAGGCCAGGAAGGTGGGAGTTAAGTGCCACTCCGGCTCCCAGGCAAAGCGGCAAAATGATTTGCGTGATGCAGGAAACGCAGAGCCCCCCCCCCCCCTCCCATCGCCGACTGCCTGCCAAACATTTGCATTTAAAAGACTTTACTTTGGGGTAATGAGATTTTGATACCACCCGAAGGTTAAGTTTGTAAGATGCAAATGAGCATTTTATCATGCTTCTGCAAATCCAAATATCTTAACAGACACTTAAAATAAACCTCTGCCTGCGAACGGGGAGCAGAAGAATACAAAACATGGAAGAAAAGAAGGATTTCGCTTTTGAACCTTTTCTGACATTTAAAGTGCACCTGTTACCCACAAGACAAGGGCGGCGGCCATATTGCTGCATAAGCAGCCAGGCAGGCAACAGACCATTCAAAGGAAACTTGTGACGCCCTCTGCTGGATAAAATAGGTATTAAAGCGGACCTCCAGGCTTGCACAGTTGTACCGCCTCCTCTCCTGGACATGTGCAGAACGGAAAAATGTTCAACTCGTTTCCTTTCGATTTATTATTTAAAGGAAAAGTTCAATTCTGCAAACATGTTACATGTTTCACCCACTTTTAGGGTGGAACATGTAACATGTTCCCATAGCTGCAGCCGCCGCCCCCCTCCCTCTGACATAATCTGGGGAGAAGTTCTGTCAAACAGCATGGCCGTGCGGGGCTCCGCCCACATAGCCGCATCATTCATTCACAGACTTCCATGAATGAAGGAACTACAAGTCCCGGCAGCCTTGTCGGCTTGTAGTTTTCAATGAACTACCAGGGTGCTGTGGAGTTCCGTGAATATTCATTGAAGCTTCCTGTCAGAATATCTGCCGTACATCCCATACATTCTGTACATCCCATACATTCTGTACATCCCATACATTCTGTACATCTTATACATCCCATATATCCCATACATTCTGTACATCCCATACATCTCATACATCCCGTACATCTCATACATCCTATACATTCTGTACATCTCATACATCCCATACATCCCGTACATTCTGTACATCTCATACATGCCATGCATCCCGTACATTCTGTACATCTCATACATCCCGTACATTCTGTACATCTCATACATCCCGTACATCTCATACATCCCATACATCCCGTACATCTCATACATCTCATACATCCCGTACATCCCATACATCCCGTACATCCCATACATCCCGTACATCCCGTACATCTCATACATCCTGTGCATCTCATATATGCAGTACATCTCATACATCCCGTACATCCCATACATCCCGTACATCTCATACATCCCGTACATCCCATACATCCCGTACATCTCATACATCCCGTACATCTCATACATGCCGTACATCTCATACATCCCGTACATCCCGTACATCCCACCCATACATCCCGTACATCTCATACATCTCGTACATCCCATACATCCCGTACATCTCATACATCTCATACATCCCGTACATCTCATACATCCCATACATCCCATACATCTCATACATCTCATACATCCCATACATCTCATACATCTCATACATCCCATACATCCCATACATCTCGTTCATCCCGTACATCTCAAACATCCCGTACATCTCATACATCCCATACATTTCATACATCCCATACATTTCATACATCTCGTACATCTCATACATCCCATACATCCCGTACATCTCATGCATCCCGTACATCTCATACATCTCATACATCCCGTACATTTCATACATCCCGTACATTTCATACATCCCGTACATTTCATACATCCCGTACATCTCATACATCCCGTACATCCCATACATCCTTACATCCCATAAATCTCATACATACCGTACATCTCATACATACCGTACATCTCATACATCTCATACATCCCGTACATTTCATACATCCCGTACATTTCATACATCCCGTACATCTCATACATCCCGTACATCCCATACATCCTTACATCCCATAAATCTCATACATACCGTACATCTCATACATACCGTATATCTCATACATCCCATACATCTCGTACATCCCATACATCTCATACATCCCATACATCTCATACATCCCGTACATCCCATACATCCCATACATCTCATACATACCGTATATCTCATACATCCCATACATCTCATACATCCCATACATCCCATACATCTCATACATCCCATACATCTAATACATCTCGTACATCCCGTACGTCTCATACATCCCCATACATCCCGTACATCTCATACATCCCATACATCCCCTACATCTCGTACATCTCATACCTCCCGTACATCTCATACATCCCCTACATCTCATATATCCCGTACATCCCATACATCCCCTACATCCCATACATCCCCTACAGCTCATACATCCCCGTACATCTCATACATCCCATACATCTCGTACATCCCATACATCTCGTACATACCGTACATCTCATACATCTCGTACATCCCATACATCTCGTACATCGTACATCCCATATATTTCATACATCCCATACATCCTATACATCCCATACATCTCGTACATCCCATATATTTCATATATCCCACACATCTTATACATCCCATACATCTCGTATATATCATACATCCCGTACATCCCATACATCCCGTACATCCCATACATCTCGTACATCCCATACATCTCGTACATCCCATACATCTCGTACATCTCATACATCTCATACATCTCATACATCTCTTACATCCCGTACATCTCGTACATCTCATACATCCCGTACATCTCGTACATCCCATACATCCTGTACATCCCGTACATCTCGTACATCCCATACATCCTGTACATCCCGTACATCTCGTACATCCCATACATCTAATACATCCTGTACAGCAAGCAGATATTCTGACGGGTCTGCAGGAGACCTACATGGCATCAGCGATTTACTGATCACTGGTGTAATGCTTTCCAGGCTTCTGCAGACAAAAATAATAAATGCACGTTTTTTTTTACCTGCAAAAAAATGTGCATTTATTATTTTTGTCCAAAAGGTGAACTTATCCTTTTTTAAATAATATAGTTTAGTTAATTTAATTTAATTCTTTTTTGGAATTTGTTTTGTTTAATGGTTTCTGAATTCGATTTAGAATTTTTCAAATTCAGTTGAATTGAAATCAATTCGACCAAATTTGGAAAATTCTAATCGAATTAAAAAACCAATAAATGAAACAAAGTCCGAAAAAGAATTGAATTCAATTCGACCTAATCAAAAAGTATCAAATCAGCATTTGAATTCTAATTCATTCTATTCGAAATTTAAATTTCGGAACACAGTTATATTCTT